ATATATCGTTTCAGGTTTGTATATAAATATTCAAATATGAATTTTGTGAAAGTTAACAAAAGTCAATTATGATCAGAATTCAGACATATCATGAAACTGAAACTACCTAAAATAAGTTAGCAAACAAATATACAAATTTGGTTTTTAGAATAATTTAAAAAAGAATAGTTGATTTATATACCATGGCATTTAATTTGTCACAACCGTACTCCCTATGAGACTTAAACTTGAAGTCTATTAATCTCAGTACGTTAACCAGTCAATTGCTAGACTAATTGTTACATGACAAAGTGCTAAAAATGGCAAATATGACGTGAAAAGAAATAGGCTAAAAGTACACATGTAAAGCAGAAGTTCATATTTCCAAGTATATTTTAGCTGCTTATTTTCACTTTGGTTTAGAGTTTAGACCAATATTAAAATTTTGGTCTAGGTGTTACAGAATCAGAATGAGTTTGGTATTAAATAGAAAAATTGAACCAACTTGTTAAATCTGGTTTCTGGTTGTTCTTTAACTCTTTCTTACAAGATAAAACTGGTTTGCTGCTTTATTACTTTGATTATAGTTGTTTCAATGGTTGTTAATTTCATTGGTTCATCAACATTCTATCTGATATATCACTTTTTTCATTTGTTTAATCATCTCATCTCATCTCACAGAGGTGAAAACATAATAATCAAGAAAGGAATTCATATCCTAACACGACATGTCCATCCTTTTCAATCCACTAAAGTATTCAAGATGATGAAGGCAGAAGGTTAGTAGGCAGCCGAGCGTCTTTCCTTTCATACTAGTAATGATAGTGTTATTCTCGTATTCCCATAATCTTAGGTGTTTATTACTCCTGATGTTGCGTATGAATCGATTTTACTATTATTTTACTATTATCTTGATGTGTTACTGCTTCTCTTCTATGACTTCTTCACTACTGCGTGTCTTTTTTTATACTGTTATGATTATGCATGCTAGCTTTGAGCAAAAGGTCTATCGGAGACAACATCTCTACCTACACAAGGTAGGGGTAAGATCCACAGACCCCACTTGTGGAATTATACCGGGTATGTTATTGTTATTGTAAAGACTGTAGGGGTACATTATATATATGAAGTAACTTGTGAACTCATGTTGTAAAATTAGAGACCTGCGCTTTGTAGTCTTTGAATATGAGTATGGTATTCCTTTGATTGACTCAAGTTGAGAAAAGACTATACTCCTTCCAAGTAATGAGTTTCTTTTTTTTTTTACACGAAATCCTTTATTACTGCAACTCTTGCAAGATTTTGGAGCAAGAACCATTAAAATGGATCACAGCCACAGGACATAGTAAATGCAGGTCATTTACAAAGACATGTTCATCCTGCTGAATTCGCGATTTCTGATAAAAGATTAATAGGAGCTGAAGCTAAAAGAGAATATGAAAAATTGGAGATAGGATTCCATTTCAATGTGTGCTGAAGAAGGCTATACATGAAATCAAATGTAAAAATCCTTTAGACCTTTATGCTGTGGGGGGNCAGCTGTTGCAAGATTTTGGAACAAGAACCATTAAAATGGATCACAGCCACAGGAAATAGTAAATGCAGGTCATTTACAAAGACATGTTCATCCTGCTGAATTTGCGATTTCTGATACATAAAAAATTGGAGATAGGATTCCATTTCAATGTCTGCTGAAGAAGGATATACATGAATCAAATTTAAAAATCCTTTAGACAAAGGGACACCTTTAGGGGGCACTAAATTGGCCATTTGCTTTTACAATACAGTACTCCAATTAGTCCTTGTTACAAAGAATCTAACTAATGGAAACTATAAAAGTGGACAAAAATGAGACAATAAGAAGAGCAAAGACTAAGTGGAACAAGCTCTAGGTTGAAAAACTTCATCCTTGCCCCTTCTCCTATCTAAACTAGACCTACAATTTTACAAGAGACTACCTTAGAGAAACTTTACAAGGGGCTTTGGATTTTTTATAATATGAAGAGACAACTATCAGAGGGAAAAAGAATCGGTTGGTGGATGTACAATAGTGAAATTCATGATGTGGTACCTTGGACGACGTCCTTCCAACAAACATGCAATTTGTGCTAGAGAAACCTCAGCCTTATTCGCGTAAAAATTGGAAGGCTGGATGTTCAAGCAGTTCTTTTGCAGGTTTTACACCGGTAAAATCAACGTCCTTGAGGGAACTGTTAATCTCCTCAACAGAGATGGGGATGCTGCATTGGAAGCAAATAGATGAATGATAGAACAGGATCAATGTTCATTTTGACAGCAAAATGGAATTTATAAAGTACCTGGAATTATCATCCAATATAAAGTTGTTATTATCTGCCTCCTGCGCATTGTCTGCATCATTCCCGTCTTCGTTTGCTTGATCCTTAAAACTGGAAATCACCTGTTCCGAGCAATATGGTTTAGAAACCAAATGCAGAAAATTTGACTTGAGCTTTGTCATTGAGAGAGAGAATCACTAAAGCTAAGGTGGTTTAACTTCCCAGATAGAAGAAAAATAATCCAAAAACCAACAGTTGAGGATGTAACCAATATCATGTATTGATGATCGTTAGTCGACTAGCAAATCATCTCTAAGGAGCATATTTCATACATAATTAGTAATTACCCCCAGCCCCAAAAGCACCCAAATACTAAGAAAAGAGATTTAGTAAAATAAAATATAAGGAGAAGGAGAACGGAAGGCTTACATCTGTAGATACACCTTGAGTATTAAAATCCTCATCCCAGTAAAGCGTGCATATTCGATACAACTGTTGACTACTCAGAATCTGAAAAGATGATCCCAAGAAAAAAGACACTCAGTGCTAAATGAGCAAATGATAACAACGTGAATGCCAAGGACTCATATCATAACATAAAGATTAACTTCAAAACATCCATCTTAACACCGCAAATAATTCATTTAAGCCCTTAACAATCTGTATACACTTCATAACTTGTCCAATAGGATGCTTTCCGTGCTAGCACTTGAACAACTAACAAAGAAATTTTTACTACCACATGTGGCAGCCTTGAACCGCCATGTATTATCAATATTTGAAATCTCCAAATTAAGTACAACTGAGAAGGCTATAAAGATGAACTTACAGGGCAGAGATCAGTTGTTAGATCTTCAGATGAAAGTCTCGACTTCTGATTAATAACCTGAAAACAAGCTATTTAGACAGGGCAAAATAGATGGTACATTTAAGGTCATTATCTCAAATTTGGAGTTAAATTTCCAAAAACGTGGTGTCACTTCCAAGTAACAGGAAACACTTCTGCAAAAGCATACTAGGACGTAAACCGGATAGAAGGCCTCTATTAGCCTAAGAGTAAACATTTTCGGAGAAAAAGAATATCTGATTGATCAAAATTTGCCCATTCAGAGAGGAGAAACATACCAAAAATCCTACTGCCTGCCTCACATGCTTTAGTTCATCCCAAGAAGAACCAACATACTGCGAAGTAAGAAGGGTTACCACGAGTTAAAACCTCAAGAAGTATAAAATTACAGATATGTAAATACAGCTCATGATATCTAACATCTACTAATAATGTACCCTTAGGGTACCAATGACAGATTACCTCTTCTTTAACATTGCCACACCAAAGTTCTAGTTCTTGCAATCCAGCTTTTACATACTCCCCGTTGCTGAATGAACAGCACTCTTTATTAAGGAGAAGGCTGCAATGAGGATTAAATAGTATGGTAAGTGGTGTATCTATGAATTTCTGGCCAATCTTTCTGCTATGAGATAGGAAAAAAGTTACCTATTGAAAAGCTGAACATTTATGTACGAAAAAATCTGGTTTAGAATTTTCTGGACAAAAACTGGATGAACCTGAAACAAAATATTCATATAAGTCCACTCATCAGTTTATAATAATATTAGCACATCACACTATTTCCAATAATGAAAAACATACATAATTTTCTTTCAGTGTACCGAGAAGCCCATTTAGGCTCTCAATTAAGCCGTCCCAGGGACCTGGTGGAGAACGACCATCGAGGGACTTCCGTGGTGATTGCGAGGAGCCACCTTTTGATATTTGAGATGCCTAATTAAGATGGAAAGTGCAAGTAAAGTTAGAAATTTGAATATCAGAAATACAAAGACTATAATCTGAGAATTTTTGAGTCAAAATACAAATTAGTTGGAAGCACAGTAGCTTATCACAATTTTGAGATCAATAGAAAAATTTCTTAAAAAGCCAGAATCCTAGTCAATGCGACAGTGAAAATATAGGGGCCCAATGAATCCTTGTGAGCTAGGGAAAAGTGCTAATTGAGAAGAGGATTTTATTCATGTGATATTTTGATTAACACACGCCGAATGATATTATTCATATTGTTCAGAATATGTATGTGTACTGATTTCAATTGCGTCACGTTCAAAATACAAAATTGTATAACTTCAAGACTACAAAACTAGAAATGAGGACAACATTAAGCTGACTACACAGCCAAATAAAACAAGACATTGTCATAGTACTTCTGGAAAACATGGTGATATACCTGGATATATGAAGTCAGTAATGAAGACAAGTCCCTTTTCCAGTTATCTCGAATAATTCCATAAATCTTTTCAACATAAGCACTGAGCTGTAGCTTGAAAAGCAAAGCTGGCTGCTTTGCCTCAACTTGGCGTACAGTGTCGAGACCACCAATTGCAATGTTGGCTGATGAAGAACGGAAACTCTAGAAAAGAAGTACAATCCTTTCATCAATAAACCTGCATATTCCTGTTCCTCATTCTAGGTTCCAGTATGTTTTATTCTGAGATTTACATTATGTCCAGCCAACGAAACTGAAAACAAGTAACAGTTACATCGTCTTGCTTGGAAATTCGCAGGATATGAGTACATAAACTATTAGAAAGTCAAGGACATCACCAACAGGTAGCCACCTAATAAGTAAGACAATGGTGAAAATAATGTGGCTTTATACCTTAAACCGCACATCACGCCTATATATAACGTGTATATTGTATTTCATATTAATCAAGTTAGAATCAATATGATTAGTTCTCCTTATCTCTTCCNAACATAACAGGGAACTCAAAGAATAACTGTAGAAGCTTTCTATGGATGTGCTTTCAAATACACAAAGTAATAGTGCAAAAGATATAGCCAACTACTTCAAATATGATGGTTTCTTTGCATAACATTATGCCACTCAGTTTTGGTTTATGTTAGTTAGTTAGTTGTTATGTAAATAAGCATAGTCCTACATGGAATAAGAGTAGTGTAGGTATTGTGTATTGTTATAAATAGGGTACTTGTATTATAGTTAACACATGTGAATACCGTGGTGGTGAGACACATCCGGGAACTAGAATACAGAGCCAGAAGTCACTGTGCCTTTTCCGGCGACTTTTCAAGGCTGTTTGCGTCATCTCTCTCCGTCAGTGTTGTGCAAACTCCAATACTACCACATGATCCGTCATCGTACGGAGACCAAACCCCAGTGAACATCTCCGGCAGCAGCCTCCTCACACGCCGTCAGAAGCTAGGATTCCGGCAAGCGCGTGAGCTCACGCGCCGGCGAGTACGACCACTTCCGGCCATTTTTTGAAAAAGTTTATTCATAACAGTTGGGTCGTCTACTAATTCCGACCCCACCTGTACTGTTTTTGTTTGATTCTGACCATTTTGAGTTTTTCCGGCGACCACTGATTTTTCCGGCAGCTACAGTAATTTCCCGGCAAAAACAATGTCTCCTTCGTCTGTTTCAACGAGTTTTCAATTGATTCTTTCTGTTATTTGGTGATAATTTTATAGACCTCCAATCCAACGATGTCTTTGGGAGTTGATGCTTTGGTGTCTAAAAACCCGGGGTCTAGCAGTTCCGGTGTTATGATTACCTCAGAACCTTTAATGGGAAGTTCAAACTACTTAACTTGGGCTTTGTGTGTCGAGTTGTGGTATAAAGGTCAAGGTGTCCAAGATCATTTAATCAAGAAGTCTAGCGAAGGAGATGAAAAGGCCAAAGCACTTTGGGAGAAGATCGATGCTCAATTATGCAGTATTCTGTGGCGATCTATTGATTCCAAGTTGATGCCCTTGTTTCGTCCATTCCAGACATGTTATTTGGTTTGGGAAAAGGCTCGCACTTTATAGACTAATGACATATCTCGCTTCTATGATGTGATATCGCAGATGACAAATTTAAAGAAACAGGAATTAGATATGTCTATTTACTTGGGACAAGTACAGGCAGTCATGAAGGAATTTGAGAAGTTGATGTTAGTTTCTGCTAGTGTTGAAAAGTAACAAGAGCAGCGACAGAAGATGTTTCTAGTTCTTACTCTCGCTGGAATTCCTAATGATCTTGATTCAGTATGCGATCAGATTTTGGCTAGTCCGACTGTTCCCACAGTTGATGAATTATTCTCTCGATTACTTCGCCTTGCTGCAGCACCAAGTCACCCAGTGATCTCATCACAGATACTTGACTCATTTGTTCTCGATCCTAGACAGTGGACAATCGGGCATCTCAAACTATGGAGAATAGACGAGGAAGATATCGTTTTGGAAGATCTAGACCCAAGTGTTCTTATTGTCATAACTTGGACACACTCGTGACGTGTGCTATTCTTTACATGGTCGTCCACCCAAAAATGCTTATGTTGCCCAGACCGAGACTACAAGTAACCAGTGATTTTCTTTATCTGAAGGGGAATATAATGAGTTCCTTCAGTATCGAACAAGTAAGCAGGCATCTCCACAAGTAGCCTCGGTTGCTCAGACTGATACTTCTGTTGCTGGTAATTTTTTTTCTTGTGTTTCCCAATCTAGTACTCTTGGACCATGGGTCATGGGCTCAGGCGCTTCTGATCATATCTCTGGTAATAAATCACTCTTGTTGAATATTGTATATTCACAGTCTCTTCCCACTGTTACTTTAGCCAATGGGTGTCAAACTAAAGCAAAAGGAGTTGGACAAGCTAATCCTCTATCTTCTGTCACTCTAAATTCCGTTCTTTATGTCCCTGGCTGTCCTTTTAGTCTTGCATCTATTAGTCGTTTGACTCGTGCCCTCCATTATGGTATATATTTTATTGATGATTCTTTTATTATGCAGGACCGCAATACGGGACATACGATTGGCACTGGGCATGAATCAGAAGGCCTTTACTACCTTAACTCACTCAATCCCTCCACAACAAGTCTAGTTACAGATCCTCCGGACCTAATTCACAGACGTTTAGGACATCCGAGTTTATCCAAGTTTCAGAAGATGATGCCTAGTTTGTCTAGTTTATCTACATTAGATTGTGAGTTGTGTCAGCTTGGGAAACATACCCGAGCCTCCTTTCCGCATAGTGTTGAGAGTCATGCAGAGTCTGTTTTCTCTTTAGTTCATTCTGATATATGGGGTTCTAGTAGAGTCAGTTCAACCTTAGGATTTAGTTATTTTGTTAGTTTTATCGATGATTATTCAAGATGTACTTGGCTTTTCTTAATGAAAGATCGTTCTGAGTTGTTTTCTATATTCCAGAATTTTTGTGCTGAAATCAAAAATCAACTTGGTGTTTCTATTCACACTTTTCGCAGTGATAATGTCTTAGAATATTTATCCTCTCAATTTCAGCAGTTTATGACTTCTCAAGGAATTATTCATCAGACATCTTGTCCTTATACCCCTCAGCAAAATGGGGTTGCAGAGAGAAAGAATAGGCACATTATTGAGACTGCTCGCACACTTCTCATTGAATCTCATGTTCCGTTGCGTTTTTGGGGCGATGCAGTTCTCACAGCTTGTTATTTGATTAATCGGATGCCTTCATCTCCCATCCATAATCGGATTCCGTATTCAGTATTGTTTCCCCAGTCACCCTTATACTCTCTTTCCCCTCGTGTTTTTGGGAGTACATGTTTCTTTCATAACTTAGCCCCTGGGAAAGATAAGTTAGCTCCTCGTGGTCTCAAGTGTGTCTTCCTTGGTTATTCTCGTGTTCAGAAGGGATATCGTTGTTACTCACCCGTTCTTCGTAGGTACCTTATGTCAGCTGACGTCACATTTTTTGAGTCTAAACCTTTCTTTACCCCTTCTGACACCATGATATATCTGAGGTCTTACCTATACCGACCTTTGAGGAGTTTACTATAGCTCCTCCTCTACCTTCAGCCACAGAAGTCTTACCCATACTAACTGTTGAGGAGTCTAGTGTTGCTTCTCCTAGATCCCCAGCCACAGGAACACTACTCTTGACTTTTCATCGTCGTCCGCGCCCAATATCAGGCCCAACTGATTCTCGTTCTGCACCTGACCCTACTCCTACTGCGGACTTGTCTTTTCCTAGTACACCGATTGCACTTCGGATCACACTTAATCCTAATCCCCATTATGTCGGGTTAAGTTATCATCGTCTGTCATCCCACATTATGCTTTTGTATCTTCTTTGTCCTCTGTTTCCATCCCTAAGTCTACAGGTGAAGTGTTGTCTCATCCAGGATGGCGACATGCTATGATTGATGAGATGTCTGCTTTACATACGAGTGGTACTTGGGAGCTGGTTCCTCTTCCTTCAGGTAAGACAACTGTTGGTTGTCGTTGGATTTATGCAGTTAAAGTTGGTCCGGATGGCCACATTGATCGACTTAAGGCCCGTCTTGTTGCCAAAGGATATACACAGATATTTGGGCTCGAATACAGTGATACTTTCTCCTGTGGCTAAGATAGCATCAGTCCGCCTTTTCCTATCCATGGCTGTTGTTCGCCATTGGCCTCTCTATTAGCTGGATATTAAGAATGCTTTTCTTCACACCCTGTGATAGTCATTGGGATGCAGTTGTCCGCATTCTTCGGTATATAAAATCGGCTCCAGGCAAAAGGTTATTGTTTGAGGATCGAGGTCATGAGCAGATCGTTGGGTACTCAGATGTTGATTGGGTAGGATCACCTTATAATAGGCGTTCTAATATTGTGTTCTAGTAAGAGGCAATTTGGTGTCTTGGAAGAGCAAGAAACAGAATGCAGTTGCTCGGTCGAGTGCAGAAGCAGAATATCGACTAATGGCTATGGCAACATATGAGCTAGTTTGAATCAAACAATTGCTCAAGGAGTTGAAATTTGGTAAAATCAGCCAGATGGAACTTGTGTGCGATAATCAAGTTGCCCTTCATATTGCATCAAATCCGGTGTTCCATGAGAGAACTAAACACATTGAGATTGACTGTCACTTTGTCAGAGAAAAGATACTCTCAGGAGAGATTGCTACAAAGTTTGTGAAGTCAAATGATCAGCTTACAGATATTCTCACAAAATCTCTCACTGGTCCTCGTATTAGTTATATATGTAACAAGCTCGGTACATATGATTTGTATGCACCGGCTTGAGGGGGAGTGCTAGTTAGCTGTTATCTAAATAAGCATAGTCCTACATGGAATAGGAGTAGTGTAGGTATTGTGTATTGTTATAAATAGGGTACTTGTATTATAGTTAACACATGTGAATAATATATTTTCCCGTGCATTCTCACAGTTTAGATAAAATGAGAGGGAGGACCGTAGAAACTTTAATTCAATAGTTTTAGGAGCACATTCAATAATAAAGACGATGTAAGAATTTAAATACCTGCGCCGTTCGACCAAAAAACGATGTTGGTTGGGGCGGTTTACTTGGAGCTGAACTAGTAGTTTTCAGCGTATGCTGAAGCAAAAACAACAATGTTGCACCGTTGGACAGCCAATAAGCCATGTGATTATTGTTTGTCTCGTCCTGCAAATTGATATAAGACGAGCATGTGTGTAAATAAGCGTATATCATCAGTTAGAGAGAGCATTTTTAAGCCGTGATTTTAGAGGATAAAAACTGAAACTACAGTCACATAGATTAAGACTTCACCGGGAACTGTTTAAGCTTATGTTTTGTAGATTTATAGCATGTATAATGTAACACCTATTCCGCTTAAGCTGGAAGTTAAGATGATGAGCTAACTTGACAAATCCTTCTGATTTCAGTCATCATTTGCTTTATTTCATTGTCTTTGGGATTGCTTTTGGGATTTTAGCACCTCTCAGATGTAACGGATAATAATGATATTCCTTCCCATTTTTGAAATGATGCATTTTTGACATAGCAGTACAAAAGTCCAATTCTGGACCAATACAGGCTAGTATGTATTACACTGATGTCATGACTCATGAACACCTACAAACACAACCTCTAATTTCTACATGATATTGAAAATTACCTCTATCGCAGAACCAATCATCTGAATAAGACGATCAAATACATTAGTTTTTTCTGCTTCGAAGGAATTCCAATGAAGTAGGCATTTGTATATGGTAAATGCAGCCACTGGTTTCCCTTCACTGAACCCTAGATCTTGACTGACACATTTGATAAGATTATCCACACTCTCCTGAAACATAATATTAAAGAGAATATTAAAATTAGTAGCCACATTATTATCACCACATTCATTCACAGGAAAGTGGAGGAATAATACCTCTGCTGATGTATTATCCATCTCTTTCATGAAATATACCAGTGGGAATAAAACAACTTCTCAAACACTAGTAGCACTAACCTAGAAAAGTAACCCAATATTTTTTGTATATGAAGAACAATTTAAACGCAAATTCATCTTAAGCATTGCGTACACACATAAAAGCGTCCTACCCAGGTTTAAACATATTCAGTTGTGTCCTTATACTATCTTCCGCTGCAGATTTGCCAGCTTTTTTTATAGGTATACCGTAACTTCTGAGAAAAAGTAAGTGCAAGGAAGGTAGCTTTAAAGAAGCATCAAGAGAAGTTCAGAGTGGCCAGCACTCATTACTTGTTAAATTCTTTAGCTGCCACTACATATTGTTGACTATTTTTAACCAAGAAATAGCCAGTGAACAAGGAAGTTTACAAGGGATCATAAAGAATGAGGGTGAGGTAAGGAAGAAAAAATATTAAAAGCCGAAGGATGTAGACACCCATTCCCCAGCACCAGAGTAAAGAAATTCAATTAATCCTCTCTTTCCCCCGACTTCTCATTGAATCAAAGATAATTTTTAATCCTGGTTTTTCTTTCGGGGAAAAGGAATTTGACTAAGCATCAGGTCATAATCTGTAAATCTCACAGTCATAGAATAGAGTTCAAACCACAGGCTTTTCAAAATAAATGTTTGTGTGGCGTAGCATGTTTTATGAATTCCAATATTTGGATATCTTGTCCCATCTATACTCAAAAAGAAAAAGTTCTAAGCAGATAAAGATGGCAAACAGAAAAAGAAATCTGATTGAAAAAAAATTCGATCACATCCTGGGTACATACCCGCTGCTTTTCGGCAATGGATCTCCTCATAGACTCTGTACCAAACCATTTTCCTTGTGCGCCAGCATTGGATCTCCTCATAGAATCTGTACCAAACCTTCTTGCTGGTGTTGCAGCCTGTGGTTCCTGTATACAATATTTCATAACTGACATTATTCAAAGCACCAACCTTACTGTTACTCCCTCCATCCCATTTTAAGACCATATTCGAGAGAACACAGTGTTTAAGATGTTAAGTTTGACTTACATGCTAAACTAGTGATTGTGGAAGAAACGTCAGAGTAATAGTTGAAATGTTAGTTCCTTTATTTAAAACTCGAAACACTTGAATGAATTTGAATTCTTGAAAGTTGTGAAAGTTTTCCAGAGATGGAATGGTGTCAAAGGTTTTGGAACGTTTTAAAATGATAAGATTATTATTCAAGTTGGGACAGAGGGAGTATAACTAGGAACTATATCGGTGATTCCTTCACTTACATGATGACCATTTTCAGAAGGCTGCAAGAGGAAAAATGGAAAAAGAGAAAAAGTTAGGACATGCTCAAGAAAGCTATGCAAAAGGATTGACATTTCTATGGCATCAGCACCTGAGTTTTTATTGCGAAACGGTTTGAAGTTTTCCCAGAAGGTAAATGTAACGCTTGCTGTCGAAGAATCTGCTGGTCTTCTATATCGGAAAGTTTCTCTTCAAGCCTGAGATACAAATGCAAAGTTAAACAAGATATTCAAGCTAACTAATTTCACATGATTAAGAAATCCTGGACTTTAACTTGTACATATAAAAGATAAAGCAATTAGATTCTTAACAGAAGAAATCTATCTTCTCTGCTAGTTAATGGAAGAAATATATCTGAGTTCTACATTTTGTTAGCATGAACAGTAAGTCCTAATAAGACAAGCAAGTCCAGTAATTCTGAAGGAAAGCAGGAATAAGGAGTCATAATTCTCAAGAGGACCTAGTCCATATTAAGCAGAGAGGACAATTCTCCTGGAACATACGTGGAGCAAAAGAGGGAATGATGGCACAGGAATAGAAACCAAAAACCCATTGGAAAAGGGGGGCACACAAGTGGGAACATCATTACTAACAGACCACATTAATAGTGCGAGTGCTGTTGTACACCGTGAGAGCAATGAAAAGGGAAAAATGGATCGCATGTTGTTCTCTCTGTTCAAAGTTTGCTCTAAAAAGAAGAGGGGCTATAAAAGAAATATTGGAAAACATACAGAAGCTGCATGCATGGATCTATCATCTGCTTTGACATACTTGTATCGAAGCGATTTGATTAAGATAAATTAAAATTTGAAATTTTAACGCAAAAGGTTTAATTTTCATAAGTTAAAAAGCCTCTCAAGAAGACTTGCTGAGTTGATAAGTTTAGAGTTGTACTTCTCTCGATGGGTTTAGAATGAAAAAGGAGGCGAAAATAAGGATCAAATGGAGTGAAGATTTAACAGTAGATATTCCTAGACTAGATCTGTGTTATTGACAAGAAATTTCATTCCTCCTGGCAATTCCAATAGCACGATAATAAAATATGGATCCAGTAGGACAAACTTATGCAATTTTGGGCCAAGCACATTAGCTTCAATTCAGAGGGAAGCTGAGGTGGATTGAAACCACTGAACCACAAATTTATTGGGAGTTAACACAGTTGTTTCGGCAGTGCACAAAACTATAAACTTCGACCACTCAACTATAGGAAAATCAAACAAACAAGGATGATCCTGATTGACTTTCAGCTTGAGACAAACTGCTAGCAAATCTAAACGACATGCAAAACCATATTCTTTTAGAAAAAAAGAACAAATAAGATAAGATGCCAGAGCTTGTTGAAGAAACCAAGCCATATATGTTAGATTTTCCAACCTTTGCATGCTAATCTTCAACTCGATTATCTTAGCCTCTGCATCCAGAGCTTGCTTCAATCGCTCCTCACTTAATTTGCTTGTTTCCTCATACTTTTTCTCTGTTTCATCAATTTTCTTTTCCAATGAGTTAACAAGAACCTGCAACATATTTGATACACAATGTTTAAAGCTAGTTCAATAACTGAATTAGAAGCAGCAATAAAACTGGTTGCAGCCAAATTTCCATCAGGTATTTCTTGAAATTTAAGAACAGCATCTACTAAGTAGTACATCACATTTAAATCTAACATCCTCACCTTGAGCTGCTCATTTTCAGCAGTAAACTTGCCCGTCACCTCCTGATCTATAACCTGAAACTCTACTTCTTCCAACAACTTTGTGGCAGCCTCAGGATCCTTCAGTAGCAGCTCTTTAGAACTGTGGTTCTCTCAATCAGTATCAAATGAAAAAGTAGGAGAAAATAAGGATCGAAATTGGTGTGAGATTAACCAAGCTGCTAAAAGAATGTTACAAGGTAAATAATGTTNCAACTGCAGAACTAACTAAGAGCTTTACTGACAAGAACATATCATCCCCCGGCAATTTCAAAAGTTATTAGAGAATATGGATTCAGTGGAGATCAATATGCAATTTTAGGTCAAATCCAAATTATATTCATTTCAAAAGGGAGGCTAAGGTGGATTAAACAAGAGAATCAAAATCTGCTAAAATAATGTTAACAATTATTACACTTAGACCATTCAACTATAGGGAAATCAACCAAGGGAAAAATTCCTGATTGACTTTCAGCTTTAGACAAACTATGATGGATAATCCAGATTAATACTAAAACATATTAAGGTATAACAAATAAGGAAAGGCGCTGTCAAAAGTTTCCCTACCTTTGCATGACTTCCTTCAACTGAGTTATCTTAGACTCGGCCTCCAGAACTTGCTTCAATCGCTCCTCACTTATTTTGACTGTCTCCTCATATTTTTTCTCTCTTTCATCAATTTTCTTTTCCAATGAGTTAACAAGGCCCTGCAACATATTTGACAAGATATTGAAAGCCAGTTCGACAACTAAATTATGACAATAATGCATCACAAGCTGTAACCATGGAGTACTAATCTTGAGCAATATAACAGTCTATAGAATAATAAATTAGAAGCAGAAAAACTTTTCCTGGTCAGACTTAATTCATGTGCTTTTTGATCTTCAAATAGAGTATGTGTGAAGATGTGAATCTTGGGCCTAACTCAAACCCAAAAGCTAGCTCATGAGGGGAGGATTGCCCAAGTCCATATAAGGAGACCACCAGTTCATTCCCCAACAAATGTGGGATTCTAACCTACTCTAACACCCCATCGCACGCCCAGACCGCCAACTGGAGCATGGACAATATAACACGGGGGCCCAAATGGGAACGGGCCTGGTTCGGATATCATGTTAAAGAAATGGACCTTGGGCCTAACTCAACCCAGAAAGCTAGCTCATGGGAGAGGATTGCCCAAGTCCATATAAGGAGACCACCAGCCCATTCCGCAACCAGTGTGGGACTCTAACCCACTCTAACAGTATGCAATATCCATTAAATAGTACAACACATTAAACTTCTACATCCTTACCTTAAGCTGCTCATTTTCAGCATTAAGCTTGTCGACCAGCCCCTGATCTATAACTCGGATCTCTTGTATAACAGATCCTTGTTCCGCAGCCTTTGTGGTAGCCCCACGTTCCTTCACGAGCTGCTCTTTTGCTTCTTGAAGCTGAAGCCTTGTCTCTTCCAATGCAGACTGTAATTTCATTGTTTCCTGGGTTTTAGTTTCCTCCAGATTGTCCTTTGTGGTAGCCCCACGTTCCTTCATGAGCAGCTCTTTAGTTTCTTTAAGCTGAAGCCTTGTCTCTCCCAATGCAGACTGTAATTTCATTGTTTCCTGGGTTTTAGCTTCCTCCAAATTGTCCTATATAATATGGTTTCTGTCAATTAGCTGGTATAGAAACAAGATGCTACTGCAAAATAGAATCACATTTTGTTTCTGTTTATTTTCAATGCTTGCTTGCCTTGATCAAACTCCATAATCCAATAATAAACACTTCATAATGAAACTATAAAACATACACGTTTCCAACATGATTTGCATCAAAAATATTTGAGCTATATAAACTCCAAATACAGCAGAATAGACATATAGGATGTGAATAGCCGAGCCCAACTACTTTCAGATTTAGCTCTAACGCGAAAGAGATATGAAAATTAACAAATTTGATCAAATACTGAAGTCAGAGCAACAACCAGAAGTAGATCTAAAACTCCAGTAAATGGAAATCTATTTTAAGTCTGAAGTCTAGAAATACAATTAGATCTATGTCTCAGTTGTCAAGTTTAGGACCTGTAACTCACAATAATGTGCAAAAAAGATGGACTGGTCAAATATGAGAAGAAATCATTTCCTTTAAACTGAGTGCAAAGAGGAAAGATGACATCATAGCTAACCATCCTGTTAGAACATAATTACCAATTATAAAGCTGATAGTAATCTAGAAAGTTCAAAGAAATATATTTACCCTCATGAGCTTCTCCACCTGTAGTCTCTGTGTCAGCTCTTCAACTTCCTTTTCCAGCTTGCTTTTGGCTTCTTGGAGAGCTCCAGTTTCTTTCGCTGCCTGGAGCAGAAAATAAAATCAAGGCATTTAACACATCTATTAAGGTATTTGAACTAAAGCCCGCGAAATCATATGAGTTGAACGTAAAAGTCGGCTTTATGTCACATAAGAATAGAAAACTAAAACTCCAGCTCTTCGGTTTCACTCCACAAAAGCATGTTCATTTCCAAATAATTCCTCTCTTTTAATGGAGATCTTGCTTTATGTCCACTAAAGAAGAGAAAACTAAAATAGAAATCAGAAGGAAGAGGAGATGATAAAGAACTATACTGGCAGAAAATTTTGCACTGCGAAATCATATGAGTTGAACATAAAAGCCATATCAAAAACCTTATTTGTCATCCTTCGTGACACAATGCGCAAAAGGCACACCATAATGCTCAAGGGTCAACACAGCAGTTGTTGGAACTCCCACTGCTATGACATGGACTTCCCACAAACCACCTGGTTATTTTCGGTTCACCGTTCAATGGTGGCCAGTTCAGCACACACATAAAAATTACCTTCTACCATCGCCCTGATGACTGAACCTCCATACATTAATTATTGGTGGGTAAGGGTGAGAGGACCAATTTGTTTCTTGCCTTTCTATTCAACTATTTCTTGCTTTGTAATTAATACAAAGTACTGAGAAAGTTCATTATTATTCACTGATTCAGAACTAGTTGTTATTCTATCGTAACAGAAAACTGGGAGAATAATGACACATACAATTTACACAGATCAAGGGACACAACAAACTAGCATGTCGTACCCAAAATCTTGTGAGCGGTAAAGGCGAACAGAGTGAGTTCTTACCATCTTTAGCTTTCGTAATTCTCTGCGGGCCATTTTAGCTCTCCAGGCACATTGTAACACAATTGCTGCTTTCTTCATCCTCCTATAATGTAGGCGTTTCAAGTATCTCCGCCAATCACTCTATAACCAACATAATCAAAGAAAGAAAAATTACATCGAAGCTATATGTCAGTCAAAGCATGTAAAATGGATTAGTTACTTGAGTTCTAAATTATCATTATGCTGATCCAGAAGGATAAGAAATTGACGCTAAAATGGCATGTGAAATTCAGAAAAGCCAGTAGAAAATCCCTCTTTACCTGGATAAAGATAGCTGCATTTGTTCGCTTTCTGAATTGAAGCTCATTTCGAGCAGCCATGCCACGCAATCCTGCTTGAATTGAAACAGCTGAAGAGCACAGCAATCCATAAGATTTCCGTGCAAGGTACTTGCGTGCATCTTTTTGGATCCTCAGAGAGGCAGCTTCTCTCCTCATGCACTCGTAGATAGCCCGTGCAAGTTGGCCTGCATAAGGTATCATAAAACAGTTATCAAGCATTTTTTTCTCTTATTGCATAAGTAAAACATTAGAAGCATTATTGAATTTAGAGAAATNTGGGCATTTCTTTTTTTTTTATTGCATAAGTAAAACATTTGAGGCATTATTGAATTTAGAGAAACCAATTCACACGGTGTGATGAACGGCGTGTACAGGATCCAGGTACATATTCACAGCGGTTTCTAGCTTTTTGTCGGGGCATGGTCATATAAATTATATATAAAAGTTAAACAGGCTATCGTACCCCTACAAACAGCTTGGACTTGGATTGCTGAAACCCGTAACAACAAAAAAGTTTTGCGAGCGAAATATGTGCGAACTTTTGCCTGGATTATGCTAGCAGATCTGCCAAGGACCTCATTTCGGCGGGTGTCTAATTCTGCCATTTGGCCGGCTCTAAGAAACACTTTTGTTTTACCAACCTGCAATTATGTAACATCAGATAGAATGCATCAACCAGCAAGTTTAAATTTTATGAGCTTCAACAAAAAGAATCATACAACCAGCTGATACAAGTTTGAACGATATAAATACATAAAATCTGATGCAAAAGGAAAATAGAAAACCTAGTTTACAGGTTTCCCACAAGATTCTCAACAGTGCTCCTCAACTAAATTGCAGCATCTAAATGACCAAATACTTCAATTAAAGAGAGAAAAAGGCACGGCATTTTCGGAGCGAAAGGAATAAAGCATGATTTTGAACTGTCCTTATTCTGGGAAAGGATCTCAAAGATTCCACAATTCTGGATTAGTACACTGTTTCTAGACTAGGAATCCGGATTTTATTTGTTTTCTAGATTATATAATATTTTAGGAAGGTAATTTATTTCCTAAAGGAAAAGAGAATTGGGAGATCCTTTACTCATTGATTTCTTGCTGCTACAAACACGTTGAAATAGATCGCCACTAGAATAAAAAATATAGAAAAAGGGAAAATGGAACTTCTTTACTTCCTTACTTCCCTACAAGTTCCAAGCTTGTCTTAATCAATATCTACAACCTAGCTCGAGGAGTGTTTATATTCTGGGAAAGGATCTCAAGGATTCCAGAATTCTAGATTTGTCAGCTTTTCTAGAGTACAAAACCTGATTTGATTTGTTTCTAGAATAGGGAGATAATATATTATTTGAAGTAGGTAATATGTTTGTAATTCCTTCCCTAAAGAAAACCAACCAAGAAATTTCAGTTCACTCTTCTTCCATCAGATTTTTACACGCTGCCCTTTTAAATGATGATAGCAATAACAATTAGTCACAGCATTCCATTGATGTAAGGAATTTAGTGAGGGCTAAAAACCTTATCTGTGGATATAAATGCACCTATATAGCTGCCGATGTAATTCAGCACACAGAACAGAACATCTTTCTCTGTAATAGATAATCTTAATGATTAACCACTACCAGAAAAACGACGACCGGTACCTGATAACCTTTGAGTCCAGCCTTCTCTAAAAGTCTCCCGCAAGCGGCGACCTCGTCAATACTATCAATGAGAATACTACTAAATGAGAAAGTAAAAGAAAATATAAATGTTGACAGACCAAAGAAGAAAATGGATAGAAACCTCGAAACTCTTTGAATTGTGTTAATGCGAATAATACCTTCCATTTAAAACCTCAGGTGCAAGGACCTTAAACCGGCTTAAGAATTCATCAAACGGTTTCCGAGTAGGATAGCCAGCACAACTGATCCGAATAGCCTCCAGAACTCCCTATAAAAGGTTTAGTTGTGAAGTACCCAGGCTTGCAGAGACTATACAGTTTATAACAGACGGAGGTTATTAAAGCTTACCCCACAACGAAGCTGCTGGAGTACATTTTGGTTCTCAAAAATTTCTGGCTTCAAAAGATTATTTGGCTTCACACAACGAACATAATGAGGCTCTGTGGCATTAAGTGTCTCAAGCAATGCTTGCAATTGTTGCTATACCAGGTAAAGTGTAATATATTTCAGAAGCATGAAACAATGAGATAAAAACAGGTTGATCAAAGGAAAGAAGAAAATATACTTTAAATCGAGCGCCAATAGAGGAGAACTTGGTCTGTTTAGAAGATTCTTCAGGAAAAGGTGGAAACAAGCCAGAGACAAAGTGGCACCTTGAAGCAGTAAGTGTTGCTTGGTGCTCTGGAACTACATAATCCTTGTTCTTATCCAAAAAGAACTCAGTTTGGTAAGTGACCTGACATGAAAGAAGTCAAAACAAGATTGAGCAACACTTGCTTTTCTTAGCAAAAATTGCATAACCCTCACTCTTGTAAAGTACATAGATATATTTAAGTACTTTTGCTACATACATCACCAGCATAGTGGCAAATAGTAAAATCAGTCCGGGACAACTTTGGCTTGCTGAACCGCTTATGATCTTTAAAAGTCTGATATAGCTTTTCTGCGAAGGTTTCATATGTTGATCTTGGGAACATACTGGCAAAAGTGAGCCACAAGAGGAGTCAAAACAACAACCAATGAGTTTTGTGGGTATTTTTGGCAATTATACCTAAAGAATGGAAATTTTGAGTAAAGAAAAGATTTGAACTCTCTACATACCAGGCCTCATCAAGAAGAGCAATGATCCCGCCAGGTTTCTGAAGGAAACGAAGTATTCAGAACATAAACATGGTAAAAATGGAACCAAAACATATCAATAAAATTAAAATCTATAACATATAACAGAAACTGACAACAAAGATTTATTTTTCTTATATTAGCATATCTGTGGAGGAAAGAAGTGAAACAAATAGTATGGTAATCAACATAAGATGATTCAACATGCATTGATGATTTAATATATTCGGTAGAAAGATCTACTTTTTATAGAACTCATCTATTTTTTATAGAACTCCTTATCTCTACGCACTTGTATATGGTCTTGTCCCATTTTCTGCCTATAAATCTTTCTCTATACATGTCGTAGGCAGTCATCAAAAGTAAAAGATGGTGATATAGTATATATCCAGGTCACCTTTTCTATAAGATCCAGAATATCTTGATTATCAATGAACTCTATGTAACTCCAGTCAATTTCCTCTTTGGTATACTCTTCTTGCTCCATCTTGAAAACATGCTGGCAAAGGGAAATAAAAGGTTTTTCAGTATTTACATTAACATGTCCGAGCTATGAGACTATCAAATGAATGACTACGCAAACCTGGTTGAAATGTTGCTGCAGCTTTTCGTTGGTCAAATTAATGCAAAATTGCTCAAAACTGCATAGAAGAAATCAATAATCATAACAAAGGAGAGAGCATAAAAAAATAAAATTAAAGAAACGAGCAGGAAAACAAACAAGGCTATTCATCTAAATGTGAACTCAACACCAAAAGTGCTTTAAGAAGTAGAATGTGTGTATAGGCAGCTATAAATAAAGTAGGAACAGTAAACCATATCCAGAATAAATCTTGGAACAGAGCCAGATGTTGACAGAGAAAATTATGGTTATGTCAGATCATGGAGGATAATGAAATTTTAAATCCAAAAATCCAAATTTGCAGAACAGAACTTTCATCCAGCATTCTGCAAAACTTAACTACTTGAATGATGAAAACAAAAGCATACCGGTTAAGCACCTGTTTGTCTTGAAACTCTCAAATCCATAGATGTCTAGAACACCAATTGAGAAAGTTGAATCAGGATCTTGGCCAATGGAGTTATTGATCTTGTTCACTATCCTGAACAACAAAACAACATTTGTGTTGGGTCAATTACCTTTGATACAAATGAACAAGCAATAAAATTTACGGTACTCAACTAACCAATCAAACAATCTTGAGTAAACTATCTTGGCTAAAGCATCTCTACTGACAGCTGCAGCCTGTGGATCGAGGGACTTTGTAATGGTCTCATCACGAGTTACCATGACACGTTTGCACATGGAGTCCTCAAGAGACTTCTCATCACACCTAAACGAGATTTCAGCGAAATGATAGTTTTTACCGAAAAGCACGTGGGTATCTGGAGATATAAATAGAAGAAACCACTTACATGAATAGTTCAGCTGCAATCTTAAGATGGAACCGAGACTTATCATCCTTAGGTTCTGAAGCGTCAGTTTCTGTTCCCTTTGCAAATTCAACGTTTCCCAAGTGAAGAATCGCAGCAACTACTCTAAAAATAGCATCCTGCAGTTGAATATTAAAACTAGAGACTCTCATGAAGTAACCCATGTATGCGAAGAATTTAATGATGCTAATACCTGCTCATCATGACTGATCCCAACAATATCCATAGCCCGCCTCGTTGCCAGGTATTCCTCTGACTCATCCACTCCAGCTAGTTCAAAAAAATTTGATTGGTTCAGATAATGAAATGTCCTAGGATTCCCTACTTTGTATTTTTCAACATCCTGCAAGAAAAAAAGAAAACAAGCAAACTAAGTAGCTCCAACTTAGAAAAACAGCATTGCATGTTGCATAAACTGTTGAAATATGTGATAGCTCATCTAATGCTTAAACTGTTAAAGAGGAGTCATTTTTATTTATTTATGTAGCGCTGCAACATATTTGTTTTGGGATATGTTTAACAAGGATTTTCTCTGGTCTTAGTGGGAGTACTGGTTTAAGTGTAGCACTTCAGGAAGACAACAAAACTTAAAACAGAAGCGATAGTTCATTCGTGATCAGGTCAAGTAGAAACTGCCCAAAATATGCGTGCTGATATTTTCTCTTTGGATATTTCTAGTGAATCCAAGCAAGGAACTAGGATTTATTTCTCATCAAAACTCTTATGAGTTATGCCATGTGAGAATTAAGTGGAAAAAAATGCCTAAAGACAAGTATCTTATATTCAAACTTCTAAATGTACATGGGTTATATGTGACACAATTGTTAATACCTTAGTACATTACGGGCGTGTTTGGTATAACGGAAAATGTTTTTCGTGGAAAATGTTTTCCAAGAAAATGTTTTCTTGGAAAATAAGTAGTAATCTTATTCATTTTCCGGTGTTTGGTACGCAAATTAAGGAAAATGACTTCTCAAAGTATTCATAAATAATTTAGATATAATAAACATGAAGCCATAAACTTTCAAACCAACAACCTTCCGAACCCACAAATTTCATAAACTTTCGAACCACTAAACTTTCAAAACCGCGAAATTTCGAACCCATAAACTTTATAATTTCTAAACTCGTAAACTTCCAAACACATAAACCTCCGAACTCATAACTTTG